ATCCAGGGCTCTGCCGTGATTGACCTTCTTTCCCTAGCTACTCGTGGGACTTTTATGGACAGAGTAACCTTAACATTTTTTTCTGACGCTGAGTCTATAGAGGAGATGGATGTCGAGCTTACAACTCCAACTGACCCCCATGTAAATTTAGACCAGGAGCGAGAGCTTCTCAACTCTCCAACTCCTGATCCAATAACTGAACCTTAAAACCGCCTTGCAGCAAATTCTTGAGCGGCGTATGCAGAATCTGTCTCAGGTGAAGGAACAAACCCCCCCATGAGCAGGTTAGCAAATATCTAGCTCAAGTAATGATTTACTAAAACCAGAGGCGAAAAATCCCTGCACGGTTGCATCTAAGGCATCGTCAGGTGTAGCTGATGTGCAAAAACCCTCATATGGGAAGGTTGTCGCGGGTATCAAGGTGGGAATCTGGCACCTTGACTATCCGACTACTTCATTAACGATGAAACAGCAGAGCATATACTTTGTGCCTGTCCCGTTGGGGACCGAATCAGGTTTAGAGTTCGGCAGAGCCGTACTCTCACCATTTGACCTGAAAGACCATACACCATACAAACTAATCGGCTTCGTTAAGAAGCTGGGTTTATTTGGTCGAGTATCAATAGGCGTGAGCCATTCATACCGATGGAGGGTTGAATAGACCCACTCACTTTGGACCTAACCTAACTACATAGGATGACCCTGCCCTCAAATAACTTGTTCAGAATATCCAATGTGGCATGAGCTGTGTGGCATATGTGGCTGTTGAAACCACAAGTCGTTGGTGTCCAGATCATCCAATTCAGGCCGAAAGAAGTTGGGAATCATCGACCTACAGTGCTCGCCGTTGACAGCGACAGCGTGGCCAACGTCGTTCTCAAAGAAAGATGGACTGATGACGCTGCCAGACCAAAATCTACAGCAAACAGTGACTTCTTCGGGATGCATTAGACGCTCTTGGATCTCATGTGGATTGGTTTCGTTCCAAATTTGACAATTTTGTTTGTTCATTTACCCATTTATCCAGAAATGGGCCTCATCCTTGAAGATGATTTTTCGATTTTATGAGCGACACGAAATCGACTGCCTCGGATTATCCTGCACACTTTCACAGACAGCGGCGATAATTTCGGTAGATCTTGCGTTTCTTCGACGTACAGGCGTCGGTCGATCGTTTACTGAAGCAGTGGATTCAAATTTATCTACCACATTGCGGTAGGATGATTATGGCGACCGTAAAATGGGCGAAGCGCGCGCTACGTTGCCCGAACAGAACACCCATTTTGATGGAACAGTTTTATTATTTTCACGTGTTGTTGAATGCTATATCGTTCCATGGTGATTTGGCAAAACCTACTGAATAAATGACAACTAATTTGACAGATGTAGGTTCTTCAAGATAGCCGTTATCAATTGTCAAAGTTCGGAAGTGCCTGTTGGAAGATCCTATATAATATAAAGTGATTGTTTCGAGAGAGAACTCATTTAAAACTACAACTCTGTCTATTCATTTCATTTAATGCATCTTTGTTACGTGGTCGGTCCATACGACACTTATTTGAGCACCAGCAAACTATCTTTAATCTTTTTGAGCCATAACTCTATGAAATTGGTATAGCCGCCATCTTGTTTTCCGCAGTTTTATTTTTTTCTTGAACCGTGTCATTTGATATTAATACGATAGATATCATAGTGCTGCATTAAAACCATAGTCCACCATCTTTGGGAGCTCGTCATATTGGATTTAGAGTGACCGTCTCATTTGATACCCGTATCATGAGGATTATTAAAAAACTAGTCCGTCATCTTCGGCAGATCGCCATGTTAGAGTGGGGTTGTTTTTTTCAGTTAACCCTTTCATTTGATGAGATCATAGGAGTGAATTGATGGATGTAGATATAGTAGATCATCATGAAAAATGAGAAATAAAACTTCCTAAGTTTTTATACCACTTGTATTCGTAACTAACGTTACTGCAGTTTCATACTACAAGGACATTTTCAAACTAATACAAAGGAGTGCATAAAAATACTAGTTCGCCATCTTGAGAGGTTTGCCATATTGCTTTTGTAGTGACGCCATGTTATTGGTCGTATTTTTTTTTCACAAATCCTTTCAATTGATACTCAATTCATGGAGTGCATAAAAAACTAGTTGGACATCTTGTTTGGTCCACCATGTTGGATGTAGAATGGCTTCACTTAGGTAACCATGCGTTATAGGTTTCAATCCATAAACCTAGTGTGTAGTTGAAAGGAGAATGGCCTAAACAAATTGTTCCTTCAGGTAATCTGAGTATTCTGCTTATTTATCCATTTCGCATTTCAATGTAGGTTATGAAGTTTCTCCATTACTTGCAAATGTTTTTTGACGTCTACCCTTGATCCTCTATATCAGGGGTCGGCAAGTAGTTTTAGATAAGGTCCGGAAACTGTGAGAAAATTTTAACGAGGTTCAGAGAAAAATAACTGATGATAATTAAGTGCTACCTAATTTATTATTTTGATTTCAAATTAAATTCTTAAACATAAAACACAGGTCCTAAAATTAATGTGAGAAACTACACCGACGATCTTGAGACAGTTTTTTATATTTTGGTTCTTGAGTGGAACAGTAAATTCGAAGTGTGTCTCTTAGGTGGGCGTCCGTTTATTTGTTTTAAAAAAATCATCTCTGAGAAAGATGTTTCACAGACGTATGTCGAGGCAAACATAGTATTTCTTGCAATTTTCATATTTTCCTGGGGCATGTTTGGTCCAAAATTTTTAAACATTTGCAAAGACACATCTTCTTGCAAATTAATTATCTCTATTTGAATTGATGGCTTTGATAAATTGAACAACTTGGCAGCCACATTTGTCTATTCTGCCGCCACGTCAACTTCAAATGGCGATTTAAGAAATGGAGATAGCTTGCCTATCTCTGCGAAATCTTGGAAACTTGTAGCAAATTTGTTCCTAAGATCGCCCAAACATTTTACAAATACTGCAATGTTTTCTTCAGAGTTTTTTTCTGTATTCAAAACTTATCGGAAAATGAGTAAATTCCTGTCTTGCAATATCTTTTTCAAAGATGTCCAGCTTGGGACGAAAAGCAGACACGATATTTATCAGATCACAAATTAATTTTATATTTTCTTGTAACTCTTCGCTTTAAAAATATTATTTCAATTAATAAATGTATAGTATACCTCATCTACGTATCAATGTATACTTGATATACAACACATTACAATATTTGGTGGTCTGAGGTTCGACCTTTCGCGGTCCGCAAATGGACCGCGGTTCGCCTGTTGCTGACCGTTGCTCTAAATACTTCATGAATTTCGTATTCGACAGGATCCAATAAGCCTAGAATGGAGAAAAGAGATACAACCTTCAGAAAAAGTTCTATGAATTTCTTGATATGAAATATATGAACTCTTAATTGGATAAAGAATAATTCTAAAATTATTCGGACCAATTATAGAAATTGAATACGTATAAAATTTTATAATTTTTTTGCAATATTTATATTCTCAACACGCATGTATATCTCCTCCATATAGTTATCATACTTATTTTGACTTTTGTTAGAGTGTTATTTCCGGGACTTTGTTCAAGACATGGAGGCTGTTACTAGTCAATAAATCTCTCTCTCTCTCTTTCTCTCAGATGAAGGTTAATGCCACGTTCGCGACATCTGAGACTTCCGATATTTATAACAAGAACCGTTGTATACTTAACAGTTAACACAATTAACGTTTGAAAATATAGATGTTTGATGCTCTCTCTGTACAACGTCTACATCTAAATAGATCACCTGTGCTTTGGTTCTCAAGGTATTTCAAAACATTTCAACCACTTTTGCAACTGTATTGATTGAAGGATTTTTTAGAACATTTTCATGAATTCAGATTGAATATGGCTTCACGCCATAATTTCTTTCATAATCCTGAGATATCTTTAAGAAAAAAAATACTTGTTTTGAGGAACTTCTTTTGGTCAATTGTTTCCACTTACACTGCGACAAGTTACAAAATTCCATTCAGAATCAGCAATATCACTACAAGTTGAGAGAGTGGGTATATCTCATTTGTACAAATATGATTCCCGAAAATTTTACACAAATAAAAAATTCACTTCGCACTATTGCATTTTCATAATCTTATGCAGACCTGGAAGCATTACTAACACTGAGAATGTTTTTTTCTTCAAAACATCAAGTTATCAGGAAATTAATATTGTTGTTAAAATTGTTAATTTGAACTTCATCTGAATTGAGAAAAATGCTTTGGATCAAGTACCCTTATGGAACCAAAGATCCTCAGTTTCCCCTAAAATAAAAGAATTTACCAAAACTTATTGATTTATGAAGAAGATATTCATCAAACTGTATTCAAATAAGGAATTAAAAAAATTAATGAATTTGTAAAGTCTGTTTTTTCGTTAACCACCTGTCGCACCCCTACGAACGACAACCCTCAGAAGTCGAAACTTATGCGAGCTAAGGATTAACGAGATGCTACCTTTTAACGTGTGATTCCTAACACGGGTTGGACAATAGCAAGTGGGGCTTGAACAAACTGTATAATCATTCAATCACTTACAGGAGCATCCTTAAGGCGGTGCCTGTGCGAAATTAGTGAACTATGAATCACTGAATCACTGGAGACAGAATCCCACTTTTTTGAAATCATAGTATACTCATATTGACTTATTATTTCGGTGCATAGAGATCGTTGTCCTTGCTAACAAAGCCTGCATATGTTGTTAGAAACTGCCATACCTAAGATGTATCCTGGATGAACCATAGACATATGACTTGTCAGGTGTACCAACCATATTATCTCTTATGAATATTGAACAAACTGAACATCTACCTGAAGTTTCCTTATACGAATGTCATCAAATACGAGGATAACTCGATTGAATATTTTTTTAAAATTTTTAATTTATGTTAAAAAATACTTGATACTCAGTATTGGATTGTACTATAGCACTAAACATTTCTTTTTTCAGGTTGTGGGTGTCCAGCAGTATCCAATACGACCCCAGGTGGCTGACGTAAACGAAAATATCCTGTCGGAACAACTGACAGCGGAATCAGTGTTGACAGACGAAATCATCAAGTCCACCGGAAGGCAAATCGAAGATGCCTTGATGGAATTCGACGTTTACTGCAATAATTTACATATAGGTATGTGGTATGTATACACTTTGTCCTAAAATGGTCCTATATATTTTTTGGAATATAATATTTATCGTCCTATAACGTTTCTTGTTCTGATGTTTCTTATTTAGAATCTAGTTTTCGCTTACCATTATTATATGGATAATCTTCTGCGATTCTGACTTTACTTCTCTGTTCGATCTGTCGGCATCCATTTCCACGTCACTTATGCTTACTTATTAGATTTATGTCTTTACTTATATTATTATTATTATTATGGATATCATCTGGTTTAGACTATTATCCTAGTATTTTATTAACCTTTTCTTGGGTATTGTCACCACTCTGAAAAATGAAATAAAAATTGAAATGATGAACTTTATATTGGTGTTGAAAGGTCAGACTTTCTAGTTCATTCTGATGAGTCACTGCCTAAATTTAATGTATTTTTCACTCTGAAAAATGTTTTATTCATGAATAAATTCAACGATGAATTTCGAGAAAAAGGAATATATACTTTTCGGTTGTAATAATAGTTCTATTCCCCAGTTCCATCTTCCTTTCGAGATTATTGGAAACATAGCTTCCTAAAACCAATACATACACTAGGAGATAAGAAAAATATCAGGAATCATGTAGCAGTTTGTAATCAGTCAGAGATGGCTAAGTTGTTTGATTTTAAGCTTGCAAAGAAATTTTCCTGGGACTATAAGTCTTTACTCAACTTCCAACAACAAGGTTTCTCAGAAGGTAAATCCACTTGTACCAACCTTGCTCTCTACACAAACTACTCAACTGAAAATCTTGAGAGGAGGCTATAGGTTGACCCTGTCTATGCTGACTTTTCCAAAGTCTTCTATAGAGTCAACCACAGCCTACTTATATCTAAAATTCAAGCGATTGGTATAGGCTTAACTGGTAGAACTCTGTCTGTAAAATACGGAGATACAACATCTACGCCTATGCAGGTTCCATCAGAGTTATCGCAGGGATCCCATATGGGCCCACTGCTGTTCAACTTGTTTGTATCGGACGTAGAGTTTGTTTTCAAATATTCAGAATTTCTTATGTTTGTTGATGATCTCAAACTTTATCGAGCAATTATACTTACCGGAAAGATGCTAAATTAGTTCAAAAAGATCTCGAAGTCATTTCCATGTGGTGTAGAAATAATTTGTTAGAGGTAAACATTGATAAGTGTCAAATCATTAAATTCGCTAAAATTAGAAGTCCAATACTCTTTGAATATACATTGAATAATATAGCTCTTGAAAGAGAAACATTTATTCGCGATTTGGGAGTTAAATTTGATAGCGAAATTAATTTTAATCTTCAAGTGTCAGAAATTGTGGCAAAAAGTCTCATAATGCTAGGTTTTGTGGTGAAAATTTCTACTGATTTTTCAATCTTTCATAAGTTCAATCCCTGAATATTGTTTGGTAATATGGGAGGGACTATAATGTAAATATCGATTTGATTGAGAATGTTCAAAAGAAATTCTTAAGGAATTGTGTTTTTTATTTTGGTATTCAACGAAATGAATATGAGTACAGTCAACTCTTAACCAAGCTAAATATAAATTAATTGGAAGATAGGAGAATTTCTATGAACTTGAATTTCCTCTTCAAATTAATAAATAGCCCAGAACTATTTCAACTAACTTTTCATATCAAACAAAAAGATACGCAAAATCCTGATATCTTTCATATACATTTTTTACATACCAATTATGCTTTGAACAGTCCGATTCCTCGTATTCTGAAGCTGGGAAATCAATTTCATAATAACTTAGATCTGTTCAATGTATCACTTCAGGTCCTAAAAAAATCTATTGAAAAGGCTATAGCGTTTTCGAAGCTTTTCTTCACCTTACCATTTTCTTTGTAAGTACCAGCCTTGTTACATCTTTTTTCTTGTAAGTACCAGAATTGTTTTATCTTTCAGTAGTAGTCACTAGACATAAGGATTTATTAATATTTTGTATTTCACACTTTGCTAAATGTTTTGTAAAGTTGTAATGTAGACATCAGACATTCAAAAATACTTTGTAGTTCCTCACATTTTGTTGAATATGTTTTTGTAAATTGGCTTTGCCGTTGAATAAATAAATAAATGAATAGGTAATTCAAAAGGCAGAAGCATAGATAATGGCGAGACAGAACACATTCCCTATTCAGGAATAGAAGTTGATAGACATCTGAAATGGGACATTCACTCTGAAATCCTCGTGAAGAAATTGAGGTCGATCATTTTCAAATTCAAATAACTCAAAAGATTCTAAATTTGGCCCAACTGAAAACGGTCTGATGCTCGCTGGTTCAACCTCACTAGCAATATGTAATAACAGGGTGGAGAAGGATTTGTAAAAAACAAAAACAAAGACAAATCTAAATCAAAATATAAAAATAGAAACAAATAGGAAGAAATAGCACATACACAGCATACCCGGCATAAGACAATATTTGAAATTATAACACAAAAATCATACGGATATTTAGATCCTTGGATATGCTTTGATTTTTCAAATAGTATACGAAATATACAAAATGAAAATCGTTTCAAAAAGTAGATGAAAAATAGCTTAAAAGTAGGCCGCATCTCACCATTTACATAAATTTATGTTCATCTTTATTCAGTTAATTTGATATAAAACAAAGATATTGCTATCGATTCAATTATTGGCTTTTGCAGTAAACTACTAATGGAATAATATTTTTTCTATTTTTTCTTTTCTTTTAATTATCATAACAAAAATAAATCTCCCAAATTGAAATTTGGGATAGTGAAATTAATGCATGAATACTTTATTTTGAAGTGAAATTGACAAATGAAACTTTCAAGATGGCGACTGGGCGCCATCTGGGAAAAAAATATAAAGGGGGATTTTGTGACACATCTTTTTGAAGCTCCTGACAAATGCTTCACAACCCTAGAATAACGTCAATATCTTCAAATACTACAAAATGCCGGAACTTTTAATAATTGCCTGAATACATTGACATTAAACTACATAATAATGGGTAATAAGCTTGAGGTCAGTTCAGGAGATGCTCGAAATGGTTACCTTGAACTTCTTGACATATGAACAGCCTATTCGATATTTCACGCCGAACATTTTCGAACACAGTAACGTCAATATCTCTACGAATATTTATTATTCTTTGCTGTATATCCAATATTGAAGCAGGTTCAGTTTCGTACACCTTTTGCTTCAAATAGCCCCATGAAAAAAGTCAAATATGTGTCAAATCTGGCGAGCGGGCTGGTCATTTTGTAGGACCTCGACGGCCAATTCAACGACCGGGAAAACTAGTATCCAAATAGTTTCTTACTTGTCTGGAGTAATGTGGTGGTGCTCTATCTTGTTAGAATACAATATCCATATCGAATTCATTAGGATTCGCTTCTACGATTTCAGTGAAGAGAGGGCCAACAGTAGTTACCAGCATATTCAAATACAGTTCCCCTGTTGAATTTTGATCAATAAATAGAAGTCCTACAATGTAGTTTCCCAATATTCCTGCCCAAACGTTAATTTTTTCTAGATATTGGGTATGTGTTTCCCGGAAAACGTGAGGTTTGGTGTCTCTCTAATAATGACAATTCACTACCATCTCACCAATTATTTGTACTTGCTGTTCTTCCGGAATGGACGGATGACCTGGGGGCTTTTTGTTATGTATACTACCGGTAGTTGTGAATTCTGATACAAGTTCCCTCAAATATTTTCTACAGATAGGACGATTTGGAAAACGTTCATTGAAAATTCTTTCGGTCTCGTGAAAGTTAAGCGTCGCACCGTAAATAAAAATCGCTTCAATTTTTTTCTTCCAATGGACGAGAATTGACGTGGTACCTTTCTACTAGTAAAACCGAAAACTAAATGAGAATATTCTAACTGAACAATGATTTTCATTGTCGTACTGACATTCTTCGACTTTTTTATAAACAAAAAATAACTTAAGAAACCTTATCGGGTTGTTGGAATTGCCATATGGCAGATAAAAAGGAATATTTCTAGAAATATTGATATTAATGTGTTTGTCTTCAGGAAATTATTAAATGTTCCGACATTTTGTAGTAGGTGAAAATATTGACTTCATATTCTAGGGTTGTGAAGTATGTGCGAGCTAAGGATTAATGAGGTCTTACCTTTCAACGTGAGATTCCTTGAACGGATCGTTCGATGCACAATAAATATCGATCGTACTACAGTTGGAATGGAACCAACGTTCACATACTAGTTAATTGATTGAGAAGAATTAATCACTCTTGCTGATCAACCCGCTACGCTACCGTCTGACCACAATATATATTATTAATAATCAATACTGATATTTTAGTATAGTTGTGACGATACAATTATAAGCTTTCTGTTCTCTAAGGAGTAAGGCTGCTACGTTTTGCATTATAAATATTACTAACTCCAGAAAAAACTTCGCTGAAGACATTTTCTATTGGTGCCTACAGAAAAAATTGGATAAACCTAATTTATTGTCAATAACAGTAACGCTACAAAATCAGTTTGTTTTTTTTCATTCACAGTATTTGATGAATGAAAGTCTTTTGTTGTAGCTATCATTTTTAGGGGCTCATTATCAACATTCCTAAAAGTTTCGATTTTATTATTCCATAAATGTGTGTCTTCATCGTCAAATAATGTTTTTGAAATGTAGGGAAATCAATTACCTTCGATACGCAACATACCATATTATTTATTCTAGATAAAAAGTTGATAAGCACTCGAACCAAATCAAATCTAGATTATCCAAAATGAATATTGACTTGGTTCCAGTAATCATCCCAGCATATGTATTGCAGGACGAAAAGAAACAACGGCCGATAGGGCGATATTAGGAATATCGATCTTTGAAATGTTGGTCTTCGATATGGGTTAATTATCTCAGATAAAATATCTGTCGAGCATTGCATTCATGTGAACAGTAAGCAACGAAAAAGTTATGGAGCATTGGTTGATACTAGGTAAGCTGAAAAGTACGCAGACTAACAGACAGGCACAACTAGTA